AATGATTAATAAAATTTCTAAATAGTGGAAAACTGACAAGGGAATCCAAAATTTATCGATACTGGGAATGAAAATTGGATTGTAAATACAGATCCAATAGATATTAAGCACATAAAAAGGGGATAGTATGAATAACTTGAGGCCAATACATTTGGATGAAATGAACAGATTCTTTCCTCTGTCCCTATCCTCTTTCCATTACTTTGGGGGTAGAATGTATATTGGGGTAAATCTTCTTGTATAAATATGCTGACACCATATTCTTGGCAAACAGTTTTGTATTGTGTAACTCAGCCTCTCATTTTATAGCATAGGAAACTCGGGCTTAAAGTCCTGTTCCTCTCTTCTGAGCTAGTTACTAGTCTAGAGTAGAACAAAGGTCTTATGTCCCATTCTATGTCCACTCCAGATGCTGAACTTATCCATCATTTCAAGGGCATACTAAAGAAAATGAAATTTTTAGTAACCGTAATAACAATTAAGAAAGAACAGAAAGGACATCTTAATTAAATTTGAGAGTGGGAGTTCATAATAATATCTGACCGTCTACTCTCCATGGGTAACAGAGACCAAAGCTTCAATTTAGTAATTGAGTACTGGCCCCTCTGTATGAGTTCCACAAGTTGAAAGATTTTGGAGGACATGTTGGCTGTGAAGTAAGGACTAACATTCCCTTCTGTTATATTTCATATCAAATATTAAAGAGAAACAGTGGAATCTATTATGAAACAATGGAATGTGTATAAAGATAGGTTTGCAATAATAGCATGTGGCTTTTCTGCAAATCTGCCCTTCTGGTGCACAGCAGTCACTGACAAAACAAAAGGCATTCTAATCTTACTCTTAATCTCTGAAAAGATTGCAGTAACCCTGCGTGAGTAGCAAGCTGCTGCTGTGACCGTATTTCCAGAATTTAGTATTTGAAACTCTTCTTCCAGCCATGTGGTACTGACTCTGTGTGTGTGTGTGTGTGTGTGTGTGTGTGTGTGTGTGTGTGTGTGTACATCCCTTTGCCTGTATTCCCAGTTGGCTTTGTAAAAGCTAGGTCAGTGGGCTGATGTGATCTTCTCTGAGATGCTGCAGTCTGGGTTAACATGACTCCCTTCAAGCTAGTGGGCAGAGCCTCCTCCTTTGTCTTTCTTGAAATTTTGATTGGAAAACATACTTTTTTCTTCTTCTCCCCCTTCTTTACTATATCAGGCTCTGTTAGCTACTGTTCTCCTGGGAAGCTCTGAAGTGAGGAAAATGTGGGTGGAGCAGAGGAGAAAGAAAATAAATGCATGCTGTGGAAAGCTGCCCTGTTGCTGAGTTTTCTCTCCTCTCACTGAGATTTAATCACTGGTTGAAGGGAATTGGAATGTTTTAAGAATGAGGGCCACCCTGGCTGGTTTGGCTCAGCGATTGGAGCGTCGGCCTGCGAACCAAAGAGTCACAGCTTTGGTTCCCGCTAGGGGCATGTACGAAAGAAAGAGAGAGAGAGAGAGAGAGAGAGAGAGAGAGAGAGAGAGAGAGAGAAAGAAAGAAAGAAAGAAAGAAAGAAAGAAAGAAAGAAAGAAAGAAAGAAAGAAAGAAAGAAAGAAAGAAGAATGAAGCCAATGCATGCTGGAAGAAGGAGGGGATAGCAGAAAAATCCAATATCAGGCCCAAGGGAAGCTTAGCAATGTAATGCTTGATATATTGTGCTATGGAACACTTTGAGTGATTAGGAAATCAGAATCAGCCAAGGAACAAGGCAAACTTTCCCTAGTGTTTCTTTTGAAGATTTGCAAATAGGCTCTCTATCAGGTTGTCAGATAAGGAGTATTCAGACGAATGTTTCTGCAGTTCTTTTTTATTTTATTTTATTTTTTTATCCTCACCTGAGGACATTTTTCCATTTTTTGTTCAGGTAGAGTGGGAGGAAGAGAGAGGAACAGAGAGAGACAGAGAGAAACATCGACATGAAAGGGACACATCGAGTGGCTGTCACCCGCACAACCGACCAGGGCCGGGGACAAACTACAACCGACAAACTGCAACCGAGGTACGCGCCCCTAGCGGAAACCGAACCTGGGCCTCTCAGGACCGCAGGCCGACGCTCTAACCGCTGAGCCAAACCGGCCAGGGCTGTTTCTGCAGTTCTTTTCCTCCTCACTTTAGGGACAATATTTGCCTGAGGCAATCTGCTTAGCTGACCACCCATTTCCATCAGCTTTCTTCATACCTAGACACACCAGCCTGGATCACTCTGATCCCAATCTCATGAGGCAGACCCCAAATTTACAAGTGAGCTGAGCCTTGGCTACTGTTGACTATGCTCTGCTTAGTTTTATAGTTAAAGTGGCATGCTTTCATATATTTTCATAGACGCTGGAGGATGAGTACACCATCGTCAGTCCTGAAAACTTCAAAAGGCTGAATGGTGTCAGGGAGAAAAAAATGGCAGGAACTCTGTAGAAAGAGATATCAGAAAAAGTTATTGTTCATTGTGGTGGAAAAAGTAATGAATGAATAGCCCTAAGATCTGGGTTATAGACTCAGTTTTGACCCTAACTAGATACATGCATGACCTTGGGCAAATTATAATGTTTGATTCTCTGCTTCATAGTATAATTGGTGGAATTCAGTGGTTTCTAAAGTTCTTCAAACTCTCAGATTTTATAAGCCATGTATTCATTCATAAGAATGTACTGGGTATCTTCTATATACCAAATATTATGTACACAACTATTTTTTTTTTTTTGTTAGCTTTACATCTCCTTTGCTATTTAAATTTTCTCAACTGGGAATTGGGCTAATAATGAATCTCTTGTTTACTTAAGAACAAAGAGGAAGATTATATCCAAAACTGATTTGGAAAATGTAAAAGGCTCTGCAGCAGATACTTTTGATATATTTATATACACAAGATTATGTGTATTTCAGGAACACATATGCAGGTTTTCTCTCTAAGATAATAACCAATGACCTGGAGACAGCCTGTTTTATCTGAGAATGTATGATGACCAAATAGAAATTACCCTGATACTGTTCCCAAGTTGTGTGCAATTATATCAGTAGATACACCAAGTAACATTATTTTAGGAACAAAAAATATGCTCCATAACAGCTTGTGTATCTCACTCTTCTCTGTATTTATAATAATAATATATGTTGAAGGAATGAATGAATTAAGGAAGGAAATGATGAAGACAGCAGAGAGTTCTTTAGTATTCTTTCCATTCCTGTTCTGACCTCAGTGTTCATTTTATTTTGTTGGTACCCTACCTTTTCTTCACTGCTTGAAACTAGAGGAAGATCTGTTGAAGTTCACTGTGATTTAAATGTTTGAAATTTAAAAAAATGTTAGTGTTGAAATACACATCCCCTATTGTAATATTTTACTACCTTAGTTGCTTCCTGAGTCCTTCTTTAATAAGTTTTACGCAGTATTCTTGTTTAGTGCCCTAGCACCTAACACAAAGTGTGGCAGAGGATAATGCTCAGGAAATGCACTAAGTAATGAATGATTTGTCCAATTCTGTGGAATAATTGGTGTGGGTGCCTGGGGTGGAGGTGTAAGACTAATGTCCACATTATGTAGAAACATGACTGATGGGGTTTTGAAACTTGCCATTACATTTTTTGTTATTCTCATTAAGAGGATTCCTGGCATAAGAATCATATTGATTGTTCACTGTAAATTATCTCTAGGGTTCTTTTCCACTTCCAAGAACATTAACTTGTCTTCTCCAATTTTATAAAGATACCATTTTACGAAGAGTCTGGTCTAATAGTAAAAACAACCATAAGTACTAAGCTGAGAATCTACAGTGATTTAGCACTTAACAACAATGCCATTGTATCTAAAGCTAGCTGTGTAGAGACCCAAGTCTACATAAAATCTTTGAGGATGGGAGTTGGATCTTATGCCCAGCGTTAGTTATGATAGCTACTTAATTTAGGTGGATGAAGAATTTGGCTATTTTGCAGATAAGATGCAGCCTGTGAGGGAGATTGTATCTTTACATGGCACTAACAGAAGACATTTCCTTACCCCTAACTTTACTTATGATTTTTCTATCATCCCCCCCCCCCATTCCAGAAGCCCCTTGAATTCCACTTCTTTCTGATATCACTTGGACCAATGGTAAAGTTGGAAGATGGGCACAAAGTTGTTTTACATTTGTGCCCCTGAACCTAAAAGGCAGGCTTAGGATCACTTAGGTTTGGGTTGACTTGCCTGTGCTCCGCAGCCTCAGGGTTTAAGCATAAAAGGAATGATGGACTAATATCAATAGAAAAGAAACAGATTGATTATCAGTCAGTCTGGTGGTATTTTAAGAAGTTTGCTACCAAATGGACTGCCCAAGGCGAGTCCCTTATGCAGTTTGGCCTTAATTTCCTTTCTTTACTCCTTCTTTAGAGGTTGTTACACCGGCTTTCTCATTTGAAACACTGTTCCTACCAGGGGATGCTTGGAAGTCTCTCTGCACTATAGAATAAGCAGTTTAACCCGTTCTTTACACAAAAAACTGCCATTTTGCATTTAGGCAAAAATGAAAACTTAAAACAAAACCTTCACGCTTTTTTTTTTTCCTTGTGATTTTTGTTTTTCACATAAGTATGTGCATTTTTCTATTTTTCTCCGTTATTCACCGAGATTCTTGCTTCTCTATGGAGGCATTGGCTCCGATATTTTGGCCTGTCAAATCTCTTAGAGCAGATGGTCTCTTCAGGGAAGCTCTGGAAGTGTTGGGTGTCTGCTTATGCCTGGCCTCTTGGGGCCTCAAATGACAAGTCATTAAACCAGTTTCCCTCCTCTTAGGGGTCCTTGATTCAGTACCACCAGCAGGTTTTGGTTCTAAGCACTGCAGAGACCCTTTGCAGCTGGTTTTAGCAGCTATCAAGTCCGCAGCAAGCGCCGGTCTTGGGATGAAAGTGACATTCGACCTGTCCAATCAGAGGCGGGTATTTCTCTTTGGTGCCCGCCCCGCTTTACCCGCGGTGCCAATAACCACTCTAAAAGGCCGGGCTCTGCTGTCAAGTAGCTCGGGTGGGCTCCGCCGCGGCGAGGAGGGGCTCCGGCTGGGGAGATGCGCTCCCAGGTGTTTGCAGCGGAAGTGGGAAACCTGTAGGTGATGGTCCAGCTGTGCCGCGCCGGGGCGAGCAGGAGCAGGGAACAGGTAGGAGGCAGGACTTTCTCTTCTTTGCAGATAGGATAAAGAATGCGTTATTTTCACGCTACTGTTGCCTCTCTCCCCCTTCCCCCAGTCCTGCCCCGCCCTCGTCACCCCCAAATCTCATGATGTCACCGCAGCTCTCCTCGTGAACACTGGGGTGCAGGGGGTCTGGTGCTTGGGATGCTGCAGCCCGAGGTCGCGGGCAGGGCAGGGCGGCAGTGCCGGAGGAGAGGGGACCGAGCCCCCATCTGTGTCTCGTCAACTTTCAGGCTTCCTCTCCCACCACCGGTGACGCGCCCGAGGGGTGCCATGTCCACCAGGCAGAGGAGGGTCTGTGGAAGCAGATGTGTCAACCCCCAGCAACCCGTGAGTCTTCCCAGATTGGGAAGAGCTTGTCCACTTCTCCACGCCTGTCCGCACCTCTCGTCTCTCTCTACCTTGCGTCTAGACTCTAGCACATCCCAGAAAAAACTGGGAATGATTACGCTGAGAGAAGAGGGACTTGTTTGTTCCCTGGTCCCCCTGCAAAAACCTGACTCCCTTCGAGAGTGGGGGGTGGGGGAGAAATCCTGCAACTGGAGGGGTCTGTTCCTATTAATTTCGCCAATATTGAGAGGACCTGGGCCCTTCTCCCATCTCTGCGGCAGGCTGAGCAGAGGAGAGACAGCGAAGGCTTTGCCTCTTCTCTCCTAGCCTGGCGTTGTCTCCTGGGAACCACCTTCTCGCCTAGTTTTTAAAAGGTGGGTTTATCCTCAGGGATTCCCAGAGAGTCAAGTAATTGTGCCCGGATGGGCTCGCAGCGGCTGCGAGGCAGCCTCCCCGGGTGACCGCATCTGGGAAGTAGGTGTTGGCCCAGTGCCGGTTCCTGCCGGAGTCAGATTGCTGGAAGCAGTAGGCAGAACTGCAGAGAAATTAGACGCTGCTGCATCACTTTGGGGGCCGATGACACCCTGCTTTGAAAATTACTGAAAAATTGGGGTGATGTGAAAGAGGGAGAGTGAAGAGCTGCAACATTTTCACATTTATTCATGCCAAATCCAGCATGGGCATTTGTATGTGTGCTTGTGTGTGCACATCTCCAAGGTGGAGCTATATATAGCTCCTGCACACCCAGCCCTGTTTGCCTGCTGCTGAGCAGGCTGCCTTGGCCTTCTCAAGCAATCTGGAGGCACTGAGTGGGAGGGGCAAAAGGAAATAAAATTCTCCATTGGGGGAAAAGCCAGAGAAGATGAGCTCAGACTGAGGACACCCTGTATGAAATAATGTTTCTGTAATGCCCATGAAGATCAATAATTCCAAACATTATTTTGAATACATTCTTAGAGTGTTTTGGGTATTCATCTATTGCCCTGCATTTTTTCAGCTACAGGGTGTACCTGTTAACCTTACCAGCTTGAAACGTAACACACATATCAAGTAAATACATATCATATCTGGGATATTTTATTAAAGTAATTAGAGCATAATGGTTTGCTTATGCCTGTACCTTGGTTGTTTGGTAGTCAGTTGATTTGGGTGGTAACTTATAGCTGGCAGCATTTGGAGATCTGGAGGAAAAGGATCCACCCACTTTACATGATGTAGAGCTAAGAGACCCTCAGAACCTTTGGAGTAGTTTTGATATACTGTATTTCTTTGTATAAATTTTACTTATGGGTCTGATACTTAAACTTGTGCTGCTTTTTCATATCATGTCTATTTTTCCCATTGCCTGGAATTATTTAATTCTGATAGTGACATTTCCATTTTCTTAGATGAGAAAACTAAGATTTAAAGGACACAAGTAATTTTCTTAAAGTCTTCCCAAAATCCACTATTTCAACCCTAATATTCCAATAATCAACTATGACTTATATTATGTAGAGGTTTTCCCTCAAATAGAAAAGTTCGGCTTCCTACAGTTTTTGGTCCTGGTAACAAAATTTGGTTACTATTGATATTAGTAATAATATAGGCAATGTTATACAGTTATTCAGACAGTCTTATTTTGTCTTAACTCATATTGTAGTCTTATTTGTCTTCTGATTAGACAAGAAGTACTTTGCAGGGAAAGACCATTATTATTGAACACAGTTCTAACAAGGCTCAAAGATACTTATTGAAGAAGCATCATCATAAGGAGTTGTTTAGATGGAGGCAGCAATGACTTGGGAATAATTTATTAGTTGATAGAAGGCTGTGTTGGGAACTACTTTTGGCTTTATTATTCTTTCCATGAGGAATAATGGATGACAGTGTTTCTATATCCTTCCACAGAATGATTTAATTTTCCAATGGGGTAATGACTTTGTACAGGTGATTCAATGTATTCTGTCACATCTTGTGCCCCTTGAGACCAACTAGAGACAAGATGAGAGAGAGAAAATTCATATTTGTCTAGACAAAACATGCCATGTAATTGCCTTTTTTAAAAATCAACAATGTCCATCCATTTCCATCTCTCATTCCCATGCATTTATACATGTATATTGGCCATGGTCAATATCATATCACAGAACCTATCCTCTCTAAATCGTCCATAATCTCTGCTTCTTTATATCAAATGTTTGTATTCTTTTATTGGTATATTGTTCATTTTTCCCCCTTCTGATCTGCCATTTTCCATATTGCCCATGTCCTTGAAATTTTACTTCTTGATATCACAAAGACCTGATGTCATAATTTTTATCTTACTTTTTCTAACCCCCTTTGTGTTCCTCCTATCTCATCTTTCTGCTTCTAGCCTTCCACTGAATCCCCCCAAATTGATGACAATTTATTATATTTAGAAGAAAATTCTCCTTCTGCATTTCTAATCTCTTCTTCATTAGCCATTTCAAAATATTATCCTAGTGGCTAAGAGCACAGGCTTTGGAAAGAAACCTACATGTGTATATTTATGTATCATTATGCTGATAAGTGAATATTGGTAAGTCAATTGGAGATTATAATAGCAATTACCTCAATTTTTTGTAGTTCATTTAAATATTAAGTGAGATGATGCATGTAACACATTTAAAAGAAGACTTGGCCAATAGTAATCACTCAAAGATAATAGCTATCAGTAGTAGAAGTACTGTTTACATTAGTGACATTGTACATAGTGAAGACAAGTTTTTGCTTTTCCCCCATCACCCTTAAACTGGCTTTTAGCAAAGGTTTGTGATTATTATTTTTTTTTACACTTTCTTTATTCCACCTCCAAATACCCACTATCTAGTCAGTAACTAATTTATTCATATTTATGCTCAACTCTTAATTTGTATCTTTTTCTGTTTTTGTTTTTTCCATTTCATTTGTCATTGCAGGCCTAGAGTCATGAAGTAGGCAATTTATCAAATGTATAAGTCTCTCTGCTTTAATCTGAGATGCTGCATATTATGATTGGTATAATATATTTTAAATTTATATTATTAGTTCTACTTATTCTATTTTGAAAACTCTCACTGCTTTACTTCATATCTTAAGAAGCACTGTCTTTGGAGCAAGAACACTTGGGTCCAAATTGTGAGAACAAGGCTTAGTAGTTGTGTGCCCTTGAAAATATAGCAAGTGGATGGGGCGTTTCATTATGGTTGTATGAATGAACTATTGTGTAAAATTGCATTCAAAATATATTCATTTAATATTACTTTTTAAATAACATTTTTATGATTATAAGGAAATATAGAACCATTCCAGAAAAATTGGAAATAAAAGAAAATTCTAAGTGGGGAGATCCACTCTTAACCTCCCAGACTTATTTTAGTAAATATACATAGATATTTAAAATTTACAGGCTTGGAATTAAAGTGAATATTCATTTTTACATTAATTTTCCTCTCACTTAACATCATTACACAAACATTTATTTATTTTATTTAATATTCTTACTAACCATATTTTATGGCTGCCAAATATTTTGTAATACAGAGCCTTTAGATTGTTTCTGTTTTTTCACAGTTATGAAAATGAACATAAATATACACTAATCTTTGCATTTCTGACCATTTCCTTTCACTAACTTCTTAGATGTTATCTTGTCAAACACATAAATATATCTAGACACATACTGCTTGTTGCCAAGTCACCCCAGCAAAATGTTTATACACAAATTGATACTCAGTATAAATCAATATGGCAATATTAATACTTGGTGTTGTGGTTAAAAATGTGACTATATTGATAGTAAAAATTATATTTAGTTATTCTTTTATGTTGTTCTTCTATAATTTTGTATGAGTTCAACAAATTTGTTCAAGTTTATTGGTTCTTTGTATTTCTTAATTTTTGGATTTTATTTGACTCTTTATTGGAGTAATCATGTTTCTTTGTTTAATAAAAAAATCTATTGTTTACTGTGAAAATTTTCCTCACATTTTTATTTGCCTTGTGTATATTATGTTTTAGACATACAGAAATTTGTAACTTTATTGTAGTCTAACCTATAAATCTGTTAGCAGTAGTGTTTCTCATTGCTCTAAAGCTCAAAAGATTTTTCTGCTACCTGATAAATAATTGAATATAAAACACACATACGAGGGTACTATTGCTGAACTTTTTACCTTCTTTGAAGTGGGTTTGGCTTATATATATTATGTACATATCCCCGTGTGATGAAGTGGTTCCTGGGGACGTATAAAACATACTCTCAGTCTATTAAGATCCCATTGTTATTTATGTGGCTCTCTCATGAAGTGAATAGTACCTTAATTCTTTCTGAGTTACCTCTGTCCATTTCAAAGGTGCCACAGGGCAAAATGTACTATGGAAGATATTAATGACCAGGTTACTCAGCTAGAGCAGGCACATTGTTTGCACAATTATCTGAATGACTCAGGCACTAAATCTGCTTTTGCCAGGTTTATCCAGATGGTCCTTAATTCACTAGATAATTGCTCACCCCTATACTTGAATTTGATGATGTAGACCTGACCTTGCCATTGCTTTTTCTGCAATGTTTTGTTACTATTCGCTACATGCTTAGGGTCCTTTAAATTATAGTTTGTTTGTTTGTTTGTTTTAATGAGAGGCAGTTTCCCCGG